CAATGTCGATCGATTTACGTTTTTACTTTTCGGTCGATTCATGTCGATCGAATCCCTACCCTCCTGAAAAAAGCGCGTCCAGTCCAGCCATTTTCGCGGCTCAAAGCATACTGTCCGATCAACGGAAATACGAGAAATTGACAGCGGACGCAGCGGGAAAAATCCACGAATCCCGCTCCTAAGGTGCCGTGCTCCAAAATGCGAGCGTCTTCTCGCCCTCGACTCGGTAGCAGCATTTTCCCCCGGCGTCCAGACGCCGCGAAAAGACCCGCCTAAGGTTCCGTACGTTTAAGGTACGGAACCTTAGGCGCGTCTGTCCGCGGCGTCCTGGACGCCGCGGAGAGACGCCGATAAATCTGGCTGATGATTTTGCGTGGAGACGCCGATAAATCTGGCTGATGATTTTGCGTGGAGACGGCACCTTAGCGGCGGAGAGACGCTGCGGAAAACGCCGATGGAGGACGCTCCGATCCGTCGCCAACAGATCGGAGCGGAGACGCCGACAAATTCCGCTCAGTCCGCTGCCTTTCCTATTCATTTTTTAATGTGTTTAGTTCGACAAACCCACGAATCCATCACAAAGGCCGTGAATTGATCGACAAAAGCCGTGGATCGATCGACAAACCTGTGAGTCTATCGACAAACCTGTGAATCGATCGACAAACCTATGAGTGGATCGACAAACCTATGAGTGGATCGACAAACCTGTGAGTTGATCGATAAACCCGTGAATCGATCGACCAAGTTGTGAATCGATCGAATTACGTCGATCGGTTCACGTTTTGGTTTTTCGATTGATTCATATCGATTGACTTGATACCGGTTTCTCGTTTAATTGTCGTAATCATTTCTCGTCTATCGATCCGCGTTTTTTGTCGATCGAATCGACACCGGTTTTTTAGTAATTTGTCCATCGAATTGGTGTCGATCGATTCACGTTTTTATTTTTCGGTCTATTTTTGTCGATCAAATCCACACCTTCCTAAAAAAAAAACGTCCAGCCATTTTCGCGGCCCAGAGCGTACTGTCCGATCAACGAAAATTCGAGAAATTGACAGCGGACGGAGCGGAAAAAATCCACGGATTCCGCTCCTAAGGTGCTGTGCTCCTAAATGTGAGCGTCTTCTCGCCCTCGACTCGGTTGCAGAGTTTTCCGCCGGCGTCCAGGACGCCGCGGACAGACGCGCCTAAGGTTCCGTAGCTTAAATAACACGAAAGTGTTTTGAGCAATAACCAAATCCTTTGGGTTCCTCTGACACAAAAATAGGAACACGAAGTAACACGAGTAACGCACAAAAAACGGATATTTTTAAAAAGCGCAAAAGTTACACCCAAGAGATACAGCTAAATTAGTAGACTTTCTTTACACAAAACTACACGAAAAACAGGATGTTCGAAAAACTCTCATCTTCGCCGGCAATACGCTTTTTAGAATTTCTCGCGTCTGCGGGCAATATTTTTTTATCTCTAGTAACCGAGAGTACCCATAAAGAAGCGGAAGAAAACCTTCTAGCCCTGAGTTTTATGAATGTGAACACCAATTCGGAAAATTGATCTACTGCATGCATGAGATTCAACCCGGTGAGTAGACTTTGCGGGGTAAAATCACAATTGCAAAGGGCGCGTCAAGGAAGTCTGGAGTTCCCTCCCAACGTGCTATTTACGTAGTTTGTGAAACTTTTTTTAAACTCGGTTGCCGGCAATGGAGATGTTGCTTGTGTGAGGAATTTGCGATTTGACTGTTGATACTTATGTAAAAGTTCGTGAGAAACAAGATGGTGCCACTGGTTTTCTCTGAAATCAACTTCCAAGCTCAAAAAAAGCTCTCAAGTTGAGGCCAAAATGGAGGGGACATCCACACTATCCTGAGATTCCACCTCTACATCAAAATAAACTCTCCATGCAAAGATAGGGAGAAAATACATTGACAGGGCTGCCACTTTATTTGGGGACTCTAAAACTGAGAACACGGCATCACTGCGAATGTATTTGCTCCGTATCTTTGCATGGAGAGTTCGTCTTGATGTAGAGGTGGACTCTCAGGATAGCGTGGGACATCCCCTCCATTTTGGCCTCAACTTGGGAGCTTTTTTTGAGCTTGGGGGTTGATTTCAGAGAAAACCAGTGGCACCATCGTGTTTCTCGCGAACTTTTTCATAAGAATCATCAGTCAAATTGCAAATTCCTCCTCAGGGTGGCAAAATATAATGGAAAATAAAATCTTGCAATTTCACTTGAAATTCCAGTAATTTATGAAAAATATTGAAAAATACCGGCTCTTTAACATGTTTCGCAAAATGTGAAGATTGTGACTTTCTTCTATGTTTGTATGTTTGAGTGCGAATTGCATACTCTAGCCCTTGAAAAATATGAAATATTTCACAGACTCGTGAAATTTCATTGAATATTTCGCTGAGATTTCTAATCTTTCATTTCCTTCTAACATTTCACGCCACCCTAATAGTAGATTATAACACTACGTATCAATGTCGTAAAGAGTACTAAAGCAATGCATTTGTCATTAAAAGTATTTGCCAATGCAGCTCCTGTCCAAAATTTTGTTGACATTTATTTTTGCATGCAATCAAAAAGAAAATCAATCAAATTGTTTAATAAAAAATGTCCGATAATTTTCAAGTGAAGGTAAAGGTTTGAGAGAAAAATTAAATGAGAAAAACGATGAGATGTCTTGTTGTGAAAATAACTGAAATTTGTGATCTGCGGGTACCAAATTTTCAAAATTCTCCCTAGAAAAACCTTCCAGACTCCCCGTTCTCCTTTCAAAATGTTTTCCTCTTCCAAAGGTTTCAACCCCTGCGCTAGCAGTACGTCTTAGAAACAGAATGAAAAGAAAGAGCTATAAGACAAGGTGTAGGCCAGAATTTTTCATGTGTTTTCTTTTCAAAATCGAACGTAAAAACTATTTTCAAACCGGAGAGCTCAAAGAGTAACTCCCATACGACATATTAAGAAGGTACTTCAACACTTATGAAATGGACGTTAAATGATACAAATAACGGCAATTGTATTTTTGTCTCATTTCATCAGTGTTTATTGTCAACACTGATATCTTATTCAGGACTAGATTTGTAGACTCCCCGTGGTTCGATTTGCTTTCCCCGTAAAATTTTGAATAGAAATACGTTGTGTCGTATTTTAATTTAAACCCTGTCTAAAGGATTATTAAAAAAGGTACCAGCAGATGCGAGTGATATGAAAATACGTGATTCGGACTGCACAAACTGTGCGTTAAGAAATAGATCTTAGATATTTCCGACGCGCTGAACTATTTTTGTGCGATTTTGCATGGTATTTTCCTGGTCGCGGTTTATTTTATTTTCTACGGTCATATTTATCTCTTGTGAGTGACGCACGTAGGACAAAAATTAACTACTAACTGAACGGAAAATCGGTCAGTTATGCGTGTGCAAAGATTTGTCATATCGATGACTAATGTGCGAAGCCTTGTATGTCCGTTTGTGATGTTTCAGACATCTTGTCATTCTTTATTTTTTCATCATAAAACTAGTCAACTAAATCGTTAGAAAACTTTCCTTACATTTTTTATCCATATAAATCCGTAGAAATTTTATGCTGCTCCATATTCCAGTGACACTTCTCAGTATAGATTTATGCACTACGAAGCCCTTTTTGAATCTTGCTTTCAACCTGAAAAATTTTGGCAAATTAAAATTTGCACAGTTTAGCGTTATCATTTAAGCGCGCAAATACACGTATTTTGCGCGCTCAAATGATAACGCTAATCTGTGCAAATTTTAATTTTCCAGAATTTTTCAGGTTGAAACAAAAAATTCAAAAAAGGGCTTCGTAGTGCATAAATCTATACTGAGAAGTGTCACTGGAATATAGATCAAAACTATGACGATACTGGCTTATTGTTAGTCTAGACAGCACTCAATATTTTAGTCTTCAGATTTTAATTTTTAATGGAATAGGTACATCAGTTTAGTTTGTTGGTTTCTTTATTAAGTACAACGATCAGCAACTAGGCTGTTATTCATATGTTTAATTTAACCTTTATAGACATACTAGGGGGTATGCCCCCTGGCCGCTACGCCGGCCCAACCCCCAGAGGGCGCTTCGTGCTCTCGTAGGCCCGCGTCGACAAAAGAACGACCAAAAAAAATGAAAAGATTTTCATCCACGACTCTCATTCATCCAATCTCTCTCTGGCCGGGAGCAATTGAACTAATAAGAATCGAATGAAAAAATCGGCATTTATTTCAAACTTCATGCCAAGACTAAAACGAAACGAAACGGAGCGTTTTGTCGCATTTGGACAGTCTGTAGCAAAGAAGCATACCATCGATTCACTTACCCAACTAACAGACGAGGATTCGAAACTTCCCGTTTACTTCAATTTTTCGCTAAATTTGAAATTCCCGCCATTTTGTATTCGCGGGAATTTCAAATTTTGCCCCCCTTTCTAAACCCTCTGATCTCCTCCAATGTAAAAAAAACCTGGGTCCTATGTTCAAATTCTGATTACAGCGGGCTCATTTAGGAACTATCACCTGTCAATAACCACAAAAATCATGGAAATCGGCCCAGTAGAACGCTCAAACGAACTATGACAAAAAATAAAAATTTACATTGTTTAAATGGGAGAATTTTCAACTTTGCCACGTAATATAAAAAAACCTGGGTCATATTTTCAAAATCTAAAGTGGGTTCATTTAGAGACAATTGCCTGTCGATAGCCGCAAAAATCAAGAAAATCTGCCCGGTAGAACACTGGAGCTAAGCGTTACCAGATATGCAAATTTAGGAGGTCTTGGAGCTTATATATATGATTAATTGATATTAAGTGATGATACAGTTGGTATCAATAAAATATAAACAATTTAGTGTATTACATATTGCAGCTATTTATTTTTGTTTTAAAAATTATAACATAAAGTGGTAATAATGATTATATGAAAATAGTGTGGCAATGTTTGTGAAATATTCCGCCTTAACTTGGTTACCAGTCGTAAGATTCAGTCATAACCAGTCGTGTTGGCCGAGCAGGACGCGTTAGACATGCTGTAGCCTGGGAACCCAGAGAAGAGTGATGGTTGATCTTGCAATTTTGGGCAGCCAAGTGTGAGCTTGCCCCCGAATATTGTGTCTAACAATTTTTCGACAACGGGGGTAATACTTTCAGTAACTTTGCCGAAGATCGCTGTCAATGAACTGAGGGCCGTTAATTGTAGATTCTGATATATAAAACATTGCAAATTATTGCCTTCTAAAAGATTCTTGGCATTGTAAAGGCCACCCGATAGGTCACCGACATCGACACCAACAAAGGAATTATTCTCGCCAGTGTTGCCCCCGAATTTAAGTAAAGTCGGATCATTCACTATCGTGGCGATGACATCTTCATTCGCCTTTTTAAGGTCGTACTCTTCTCCATAGGGAACTCTGTACCAATTTTCTGGGATTTGTTCGTGGCCTGCAAAGTACGCCAAACTACCATTGTCATTTCTGCTGACCGCGAAGAATGACATCATCGTCCCATGATCGATGCACGGTTTTGGAGTGCACGATGGGTAGTTTGATTTGAACAAGCACCGAAGGGGTAGTAAGTACGTAAGGATAGCAAGAAAGAATGTGACGGGATTGATAAGTAAATAAGGATTCGTGTTGATGCTATTCATTAGCCGAGTCTTGCGAAAATTCGTCATATTTTCATAGGTGATGGTATCGTTCGTCGTCATATCCAGGAGTTGCTTGAAATAGGGAAGATAGAGATGTGTAGAGTCACCATCAACGTATTTGTCCCTCCGCGTCGGCGAAACATCGCCCTCCATCCTGTTGTGAGTATTTTTGAGCCCTTGGCAGTCGCCAAGGCCCAGGGAATTGTTTTTGGATTTGCCTCCGATACTGAATGAAGGAAGGAGGCCACAGACGAGACTGGCGTAGACGCTGAGGACAAGGGCAGCGTCTAACCCCATTCCTAGGACTCCCCAGCACGCTGAGGTGGCTTCGCCAATACTGACCACACCACTGCGCGGGATGTAGCCGTGGTTTGCCAGGGCGTTCAAACCCGGACAAGGGCCCCGCTCATCAAATGGGCCTGGGGCCCTCCATTCGTGGACCCCATCAACACTGATCTCAATAGGACCAGAACTAACATCAGGCAACTCACGTTTTATTCGCAATATCTCATCGATTCCGCTCACATATTCGTGAGCTATATTTGGACCTGGATCAGTGTCGAGTAGCTCACGTTTCACTCGCAATATTCCGTCGATTCTCCTCGCGAGTTCATCGACGGAAATTCCGGCCGCCATCACCCGGTTGACAACCGCTAGCAGCAGCAACATTTTGAGACCTGTCATGATCTAGGTGTTTAAGTCAAAAAAATTTCAAATACTCAGTTTGCCTTCAATAAAATCACAAAGTCTATATCGATGAACCCTCCAAGTTTGCGTTGATCGTAGCAAAGCGCGGAATCTCATTCGTTGTAAACAGGCACTCAGTATGCTTATTGTTTATACTTCCAGGGCACGCTATGTTATAATCAACTAACTTTGCATTAGTGTCCAGAGTATATAATGATAAGTATGTGGCTTCCTGAAAGTACAAAAATTAACACAGAATTAAGTCTTTTTTGGAGAATAGAGTACCTACACACATACATCTGCCACGTTACTATAATAAGAAAGAAGGATAGGGAAGAATTCTGGCGTTCAATGATAGAATAAGGAATTCTCTAAAATACTTGTAATTTCTTTGGTCTTCAAGTTGTTCAGACACAAAGGCTGTCCGAAGGATACTGAGAGTGGGCCTATGCTCTCAAAAAACTATCACAAATATTGGAATACGACATGCAGGAACTTTGAACTTTTTTCATTAACTTTCGGTCAAATGATCGAATTTTTGCGGCAATTTTACGGTGACGTGTAAGTTTACACTTTCATCATTGAAATATGCTGAAAATTGTATTTTTCAAAAGCGCCCTCCCTTTTCGGGGCTACGGTCCCAAGAACTTTCAGGAATTTATCGCCTTTTTTTAATTTCGGCAACGGATACAGACCAAAACTCGTAAAACATGATTACATCCTATTCCTGTTAACGGAAATTCTTAGCGCTAAAAGCAGGAGCCTTAAAAATGTCAAGATTAATGATCAGACATTGATTTCTCGGGAATTGAGGCGGTCTTGGATTTTTTAGAGCCAAGAACTTGGTTTTTTTATGACAAAGGTGCTGTCCTTGGGGTGTCATTGTATTCAATTTAAAATGTTTTGGAAAAACATTTTGAGCATCTTCTTTCCTGGGTCTTAGTTTCGAGAAAATCGCGCTTGAATGCGCGCACCTTGAATGGGTCTCCACGCGTTGGACCTACCTCCACTTACGTTTAAAAAGTTCTTATTTTCTGGACCAACGGATTACGCAAGTGACTTTGAGGGGTTACCTGAGCTTGCCTTACCGGAACTTACGAGGGACAGAGGAGGGTTAAACCCACTCCTACATCAGCATCAATTTTTTAAAAAATCAATGTAGACACAAATAAACAGAAAAATCCAAAGTCATCGAACATTGTCAAGCAATGTGTGGAGGTAGTAGCACTATATATATATGGGTTTGTGTTGGTAGCCGAGTGCTAGAAATAATGCAAAAAAATGTTTTCAAAAAAACACTTACATTTTACTAATAAAGTACCGAAGCTTTTCGAGGCGGACGCCTCATCGTCAGGGTAACAACAAAATTAATATCACAAAGGAGTAGAATCAAATAAGTTTTGCTCTTGGAGCCATCGTTTTGTAAAAAAGTGACTTTAGTTATTTCAAGACTTCAGGATGTTTTCTGAAGTCATCATACTCTTGGAAAGTCGATTTTAATAGTGGTCAATCTTCTTTTTCAACAGAGAAAATTTTTTGGCCTCTTTTATCGCTGGAAGTTACGTTTTTTTGTCCGTACCGTAGACCAATCAAACAGGCTTGTTTTTCTATCAATACGTGCGATAATAATACCGTTTTAAGTTTTTTTGCACTCAATGAGATATATTCTTGTAGAAGAATAAAAAAAAAATTCCTTCAAAGTTTTTACTTCCAAAATTTAGCACAGAAATTGCTCTTAAGTCCGATTTATAGAATTTTGCGACATCATTTTTCTCCCATAAAAACCGGGAAATGTAATTATACGATTAATTTTAATTAATTTCTTTAGAACTAACTTAGAGGATGTGGTAGACAACTTTTTTAACAAACGGGCTGCGGTAAGGACGAAGAGGCATTCGTAAATATTACTGTATGCAAGGGCCGAATTATAAAGAACTGAAATTCATTGGGGAATAAACTGCTAAGTTATAGCATAGCTTATAAGTGCCACTTTTATAAATAATTACAGGCAATAAAGGTAAAAAGAGTAAGTAAATCAGTTTTTCAAAAATAATGAACTGCTTTTATTTTAAAGTAAACGCATTAAATAATTAGGGACAAATCTTAGAAGCTGAGTTCTTAAAACAAGCTTGACAACGTTAGAACGTTTCAGGTGCACTTTTACAAAATAAGAAAGAAAACAAAAA